TTTCGCTCCTTCCCAAAATTACTGCAACGGAAGGTTTTCAGATAGATATGCGGAGCAAATCCATCTGGCGGAGTCAGGTTAGAGAGGCACAGCACGTCTCTGAGGAAAAGCCTCATGGAGGTTTTCAAGACGTTATGTGAGCAAAGTTCAGATTGCATTCAAGTTGAAGTGTTGCAAATTTCAATTAAATGTCATTACTGTGTTTTTTTTTTACTTTTTATTGTTTACTTGCACAAATAATGCACTTATAATTTTATTTCACTGAAATTGTTAGCACTTCAATATGAAATAGTTTCTGTAAACTGAATACATTGGGTTCATCACTCTGTTTTTCTTTTTGGTCTTTTTGTTTTTTACCTAAAAACTGGTCCTGGATAGAGGGGGGTCGTCCTATAATCAGGGTCGTCCTATATTCGGGTCAGCACGTGGCTCTTCACTGCACTGGACTGAAAATTAAACTTGAAGCTTAATGATTTACATTCACTTCTTCTTGAGTGTTTTTTTATATTCTTAACAACACTGTCCAACATCCAAAAGCATATAAAACAGATTTCTGTTTGTTTTACTATAGCTCCCAGAATTTTTATTTATGTCTTCAAGAAGAAATGTTAAAACTGTGGCTGATTTCAATTATATCTGGCTGCAGGTATACATCACTTGTTCAGTTCTCCTGTGTGAAAGTGACAATCCCGAGGCCAGGTGCTCTCAGGGATGCATCACATCCGACTCATGGGACAAACGTAGGAAGAGGGATGCTGCAGCGCAGACGAGCAGCCACTTCATTTCCCAGGGTCCTTTGCACCTCGTGAAGACCTCTAACATCAAAGGTGAGCATGTTCTTACACTCAGTTTATCGTCAACTTCTCCATATGTACACTAATGCCCCTTAATCCATGTGCTCTACAGTAGATTTAGAAAATACTTTTATAGCATACTTTATAAGTATAAAAGAAATAACCTCTCAGGATTTAGTTTTTCTTCAATTTTTCATTTTTACCTTTTCATTCACACTCATAACCTGATTATTCTTCATGTACTGAATCATTAGCAGGGGATTTTCTATAGTATAATATTCTTTTTAGCTTTTATTTTGTATTTAGTCTGAGAGAACATACAGCCTGCTATACTAATAAATAATCCATTTTACTCTGTTTCAGAACCTGGCCAGAGCATGTATCTTGCCCTGAATCTGGTCTTCATTGTTTGCTGCCTTTTGGCTTGCGGTGTCATCATCTACCGATTCAGAAGGCCCAGAGCTAAATACCAACGTCTGCCATCAGCTGATTCTCCAGTCGACCCTGACCAACCAATGGATTAGGAATCTGGATTTTGATTTTATTCTTTTTATTATGATATTGGGTTTTCAGAGCTTTTACATTTTCCTTCATATGTAAATGTACACTTTTCTAGCTCTTAGCTTGAGATATTTCTGTCAGTTCTGGTCATATTTTCTTTTTTGCCTTATAGGTTATGCCATATTAGATAATTTTTCCATGCCTATATTAGATGTTTTTGTGTAAATGATTTTCTTTAATTTTAGCTTCCTAGTGTATTTTATTCTTCTTCATTTTACTTGGATTTATTTGTGTTAGTATCCTTTACTTCAGGGCAGAGCTAAAAGTGGGGGTAGAGGTGTCCATAATTTAACTCCAGTACAATCTATAACAGAGGGTGGCAGCAGTGATACTCTCGGTTGGCATGTCCTATCTTACTTTATTTTTTAGTCATTCGTATACTAAATTTAAGCGAACAAAAAACTAGTACACTATTAGTTTGGACTGATCCTAAACTGGTTTTGGTGCCCTTTTGTTTTCTGCCACCCCGCAGTGCACATTGGTCCTTGCCTAGCCTACCATATAAAAATTTTTTTTTGGCCCTGCCACTGCCTTACCTAGATGGTATTATTCTATAGTTCTCTCATCTCTCCCCCCTTGATCCAAATGTTGTATTTTACAACATATTTAGGCAAGCCCCCAGTTTGTTATGCTTTATATACTGGTCAATTTCAACTACTTCTTATGGGTTTATTCTGCAATGCCATGTTTCTACTGCCCATGTATGTGAGCTTCGTATTTCAGTCATTAAAAACTTCTCAGCTAACCATGTTGCCTCTGCCTTCCTATATACCTTCCTGTCTGCACTTTGTTCTACTTCTAGACCCT